ATGATAAAACCATCTGGAGTCAGCCGCAAGTGAGAATAACTTCTGCACACACATGCGCAAAGAAAGCCCATCTACTGCCGCTTGATTTTGTGGAGGATCCTGTTCCTCTTTTACTTTAAATTTATTATTTATTACTCAATGTATATCTCGCCCTTCCTCCCAAGAAGCCCAGGGGTTCTACTCAGGGTCTGAAGAACAAGAAGGGCTTTATATTCCGGATTGGCTGCTTAGCGTCCCCGTGTATTTCCCACCTTCCCTAAAGGGAGAGGCTTGGCTGAGTTGCTGATGCCTCCTCTGGAAACCTTAAGTCTTTGCTCTGAGCATGTTTATTTTTAGCGTGGCTTGATAGGTCAAGGGATTGGAGCAGGTGGCCTCTGTGCCATCGAATGCCCCAATACTGACAGCTTCATCATGCTTCTTCCTCTGGTTCCTCCTGCAGTGGACATTCAAGGCAGTACAGAAATAGAAATGAGGAATTTTCAACGAGGAGGGAGGCCACCTTCAGATGACTTCTCTTTATGAAATACCTGCCTCCAAACCTGCCCATCCCAGCTGGGAGAGGCCTCCAGGCTGACCGGTTCCTCAGGGCTGCTTTGAGATGGGAACATGGTTGGCATCCAGAACTATCTCCCCCTCTGCAGCGAAAACAACAGACTACACAAAAGAACAAAGCGACAGGAATTTGACCTCTGAGGAGTCAAAAACCATTTCAGCCTCTCAAGACACTCAGTTAAGTGACCTTAAATTGGCCGTCCTGCCACCAAAGGAACAGCAAAAGGAGACTGTGAGGCAAAAGGGCCAAATTACTGTTGCCCAAGAGGTTTGGTGCTCTCAGCTGCGGACTGAATTGGGCAAAAGGGGTTTTTGTTGCCCCGTGACAGGCATTGTTATTGTTCATTTATTAAATTTGTCTGTTGCCCTATACCCGCAGGCCTCAGGGCGGTTCACAGGATAAAATCACAACCCAAAAACACCCCAAACACATTTTAAAAGGTGTGCTGCTGAGAGGGGCTCCAGACGCAGGGAAGAAGCCATCCGGCCTCCTTGCCAACTCTGTTCCTAGGTGCCCTGGCCAGGCGGGGCGTTGGTGCTGAACCCAGAGGAGGAGAGCGGGAACTCCTAGGGCAAATGGACGTGCCTCCAGTCCGCAGGCCAGAGAAGAGGCCCCTGCAGTGCAGACCTTGTTGGTCGTCTGCTTTAATTTCATACAGCTGAAGGCATTATCCAGTCGATGTGGGTGATGTATTATTGGGTGGGGAATGGAAGTCTGTTTCTTCTGCCCAGAGAGAGAGTCACAGGAGGAAGACAGGAAGTTGCCTTACACTGAGTCAGAGAGCCATTGTACCACTGCACTGACTGGCAGTGGCTGTCCAGGATTTCATAAAAGGTTCCCTCCTGGTCCTACCTGGAGATGCTGTGGATTGAACCTGGAGTCGTCTGCATGCAAGTTTCCAGCCCTGAGCTATGACCCTGAATGGTTCTCCTCCACTCATTGTATTCTCCACAACCACCCTGTGAGGTAGGTTAGGCTGAGAGGCAGTGACTGGCCCAACGTCACCCAGTGAGCTTCATGGGCGAGGGGGGATTTGAACCCTTGTCTCCCAGCTCCTACTCCAGCACACACCTGCTCCCAAATCCTTCCGTTTTCATGTCTCTTAAGGTGCCCCCTTCCTCCTCCTTCCCACTCCCCTGAAAAAAGTTCTGCCACACCAAAATCAGATTGTCCCAACTGCAATTCAGTGTGGATCTTGGTGCTGCCCCAGACCTTCCGCTGCTCACAGACGCTTGGGGTGCCAGTGGCCCAGGAAAGGGTGTTATCTGTGGCAGCTCCTAAATGGTGGCATCTCCGCACACAGAGGTGGGTCTGACACCTTCACTTTACAGCTGCTATTGTTTGCTAAAACACACCTCTTTGCCCTGCCCTTTGGCACCTCAGAAATGCCCTTTTGAGATCCACACGACCACTGTGACTGGGATTTTAAAAAACGGATTTTACTGTTGAATTTTAGGGCCTGCTGGTGAAATGCAGGTAACGTTGGACTTTTCCTTGCATGTTGCATTTGTGTTGCTCATTTACAATTTCTGAAAAGTGTTTTCTTAAAAATAATAATGAATGAATGGTTTTCAATGTCAATAAATTCAGCGTTGGAATATCTCTTCCTCCTCCCCTTTGATTGAAATGTGTGAGTTGAGAAGGCATCAGGCGGCACATACATTTTTGTGAAATCAGTCAATCACAGCAGCATTTCATTTCTTGTGGAAAGTGCTCAGGCTCGGACTAGGGCCAGCCCCCAGGATTCCCTGCAAGAAATGGTGATTTATGTTTCCCGGGTGAGTAGGGGGACCATGGCATTGTAGCAGAAGGACCATCGCCAGATGGGCTCCAGCATTTGGAGGGGAGGGGAATCTCAACATCCGTTTCATAATGCCGCTACCAGGTGCCCCTGGGAGAGTCTGGTCTCACTGGGAGGTGGTTGAAGCTTCCTGGGGCTGTTGGAGTGTGAAGGCCTTCTAGGGCCCCTGGGGAGAGTGCTGTTTTTCTAGAAAAAGGGGTGCTGGAACTCGCCATGAATGCTGCCCTTATTCTCTTAGGATGGCAAAGGTGCCCACCTGAGAGGTGAAGGAACTGAGTTCTGGCTGGAAAAAGCCCTGGCCCGAGCCATGTTCTGTTTGCCCTGCTGCTTCCCCCAGAAAATCCACTCTTTACTGCTAAATTGGAGCAAACGTCAATCTGCAGAAGACCTGATTGATGTTTGCTCCGATTCAGCCGTGAACAGCCGGTTTCTACAGCGGAAAGAGGTGGGAGAACTGGAAGAGTGGATGAGACCTATTAAGTAGTGGGTTGACAAAACAGACAACGCAGAGATTCCTCCAAGCAGTTCTTTATAGTAAGCTGGAACTGAACTGAACAGCAAACAGCTCAGCCGGCCTGCTTTAATAGGCAGCCGGCTGTCACTTTGTAACAGCAACAACCCAGGGTTTCCCGCCTAAATTAACTGACGTGGACCTGAGTGAAAACTACATACACAATACCCCTGGTGGCCAGGGTGAGCACTTCAATACATAACAAGCCCCAGTCACTCATTGTGAGGGGACAAAACCATCACCTGACAAACAGCCAAATCTGTATATTAATTCCTCTCAACCGGGCTGTTTTATGGTGGGAGCTGCTGTGGCTTCCCCTCCCTCCCTCTCTTGGCCAGCCTCACCCTGAACAAACCTCTCCCCTGAAGGGAGGAAAGTGGTCTGGGCAAGGCAGGTCCCCACCCTCCTGCCACGAACGGAAGCCATTTTGTGAAGGCCAGGCTGCAGAGGAGAAGAGGAAACAAAATGGTGGTGTTTCGCTGGTGCGTCTCTTTCCTGGCTCAATGACATCATGCCATGCAGCCTGAAGATTATAAAAGTCTCAGGCTGGATTTTTGCAAACTGACTAGGAGTCCAAAAAGTAGCTTGAGGCCTGCCTTAAATAGTTGAAGCCCCACACCATTGAGAAATGCCCCCTTTCTAAAAAACAAAGTGCGAGACTGGCTTCATTATTATCAAATAATGGAGGCATTTAAATTGGACAGGAAAATTGGCTTCCAGGTGGAAAAATCAAAATTAGAAACAGAATTGTTAGAACCCAATACTAAGAATTTGTCAAGAATGTATAACTTGCTGCTGAAATGGAATACTCAAGATGAAACGGTAAAATCGGCTATGATTAAATGGGCACAGGACGTAGGGACATAACATTATGTTTGCTGACTGGGAACAGTTATGGACCACAGGTATGAAATTTACGGCATGTAATGCCTTAAGAGAGAATATTATGAAAATGATATACAGTGGTGCCCGCAAGACGAACGCCTCGCAAAACGAAAAACTCGCAAGACGAAAGGTTTTTCGTTTTCGGAGTTGCTTCGCAAGACGAATGTCCCTATGGGCTTGCTTCGCAAGACGAAAACGTCTTGCAAGTTTGTTTCCTTTTTCGTAAAACCGTTAAAACCCAGGGTGCATTGCTTGAAGAGGTGCAGTTGCGACTTGACCTCGAGGAGCAACACATTGCACGCGGTGTGGTGGCCTTTCTGAGCTTTTTAAAGAGTTTGCTGGATTTTTGAAGCTTTTCCAAAACTTCTTCTACAGCTGTTTGGTAAGTTGAACTTTTAAAACTTTTTTGGGGTTTTTGGGATTTTGGGTTGGGGTGTTTAGAATTCAAGGACTTGGTGTTGGGGAGAGGTTTGCAAGAATCTGGGAGCTTGTGTGGTTTTTTTGTGCATTTTTATGATTTTATGTGACCATTGGGCCATGTTTATTTTTTTTTAAAAAAAATCTGGCTTTGAATTTTTGAATTTCTGTGTGCTGGGTGGATGGGGGAACAGCTGGGGAGGTGTTTGCAAGAATCTGGGAGCTTGTGTGCTTTTTTTTGAATTTTTATGATTTTTTGTGACCATTGGGCCATGTTGTTGTTTTTTGAAAAAGTTTCTGGGTTTTGAATTTCTGTGTGCTGGGTGGATGGGGAACAGCTGGGGAGGTGTTTGCAAGAATCTGGGAGCTTGTGTGCTTTTTTTTTGAATTTTTATGATTTTTGTGACCATTGGGCCATGTTGTTGTTTTTTGAAAAAGTTTCTGGGTTTTAAATTTCTGTGTGCTGGGTGGATGGGGGAACAGCTGGGGAGGTGTTTGCAAGAATCTGGGAGCTTGTGTGCTTTTTTTTGAATTTTTATGATTTTTGTGACCATTGGGCCATGTTGTTGTTTTTTGAAAAAAGTTTCTGGGTTTTAAATTTCTGTGTGCTGGGTGGATGGGGGAACAGCTGGGGAGGTGTTTGCAAGAATCTGGGAGCTTGTGTGCTTTTTTTTGAATTTTTATGATTTTTTGTGACCATTGGGCCATGTTGTTGTTTTTTGAAAAAAGTTTCTGGGTTTTGAATTTCTGTGTGCTGGGTGGATGGGGGAACAGCTGGGGAGGTGTTTGCAAGAATCTGGGAGCTTGTGTGCTTTTTTTTGAATTTTTATGATTTTTTTGTGACCATTGGGCCATGTTGTTGTTTTTTGAAAAAAGTTTCTGGGTTTTAAATTTCTGTGTGCTGGGTGGCTGGGGGAACAGCTGGGGAGGGGTTTGCAAGAATCTGGGAGCTTGTGTGCTTTTTTTTGAATTTTATGGTTTTCTGTAACCATTGGGCCATGTTGTTGTTTTTTAAAAAATTTTCTGGTTTTTAAATTTCTGTGTGCTGGGTGGCTGGGGGAACAGCTGGGGAGGGGTTTGCAAGAATCTGGGAGCTTGTGTGCTTTTTTTTGAATTTTTATGGTTTTCTGTAACCATTGGGCCATGTTGTTTTTTTTTGAAAAAGTTTCTGGGTTTTGAATTTCTGTGTGCTGGGTGGCTGGGGGAACAGCTGGGGAGGGGTTTGCAAGAATCTGGGAGCTTGTGTGCATTTTTTTGAATTTTTATGGTTTTTGTGACCATTGGGCCATGTTGTTGTTTTTTGAAAAAGTTTCTGGGTTTTAAATTTCTGTGTGCTGGGTGGATGGGGGAACAGCTGGGGAGGTGTTTGCAAGAATCTGGGAGCTTGTGTGCTTTTTTTTTAATTTTTATTTTTTTTGGTGACCATTGGGCATTTTTGTTGTTTTTGTAAAAAAGTTTCTGGGTTTTAAATTTCTGTGTGCTGGGTGGCTGGGGGAACAGCTGGGGAGGGGTTTGCAAGAATCTGGGAGCTTGTGTGCTTTTTTTTGAATTTTTATGGTTTTCTGTAACCATTGGGCCATGTTGTTTTTTGTTAAAAAGTGTAGCTTGGTTTTTACTTTCTGTGTGGGGGGTGGCGGGGGGAACAGCGGGGGAGGGGTTTGCAAGAATCTGGGAGCTTGTGTGCTTTTTTTTAATTTTTATGGTTTTCGGTAACCATTGGGCCATGTTGTTTTTTTTTTAAAAAGTTTCTGGGTTTTGAATTTCTGTGTGCTGGGTGGCTGGGGGAACAGCTGGGGAGGGGTTTGCAAGAATCTGGGAGCTTGTGTGCTTTTTTTGAATTTTTATGATTTTTTGTGACCATTGGGCCATGTTGTTTTTTTTGAAAAAAGTTTCTGGGTTTTAAATTTCTGTGTGCTGGGTGGCTGGGGGAACAGCTGGGGAGGGGTTTGCAAGAATCTGGGAGCTTGTGAGCTTTTTTTAAATTTTATGGTTTTCTGTAACCATTGGGCCATGTTGTTTTTTTTTGAAAAAGTTTCTGGGTTTTGAATTTCTGTGTGCTGGGTGGCTGGGGGAACAGTTGAGGAGGGGTTTGCAACAGTTGGGGAGGGGTTTGCAACAGTTGGGGAGGGGCTGGGGGAACAGTTGAGGTTTTGAAGACTTTGGTGATTTTTAAAGCTTTCCCAAAATTTCTTTTGCAGCCATTTGAGGATTTTGAAGACTTTGGTGATTTGCAGCCATTTCGTAAGTTAAACTTTTAAAACTTTTTTTGGGGTTTTTGGATTTTGGGTTGGGTGTTTGGAATTCAAGGACTTGGTTGTGGGTTTGAATTGCTGATTTTTTTTTTCTTTTTCTGAGTTTTACAAAGGTAACAGCTGTGCTGCCATGGGACCCAAGAAGACTGCTGCTGCTGCGGAGGCCGGCGAGAGGAAGAAGGAGAAGGTGACGCTGGAGATGAAGAAGGAGATCATCCGGGAAGCACGACGGTGGAATGCGTGTGACGGACCTCGCCAGGGAGTACGGCAGGAACCCATCGACCATCGGGACCATCCTGAAGATGAGGGAGAAGATCCTTGCGACTGATGCAGCCAAGGGAGTCACCAGGCTCGGTCGGAAGAACCGCCCAGCTGTTCTGGAGGAGGTCGAGAAGTTGCTCCTCATCTGGATAGAAGAGAAGCAGCGTGCAGGGGACACAGTGACTGAGGCCGTGATTTGTGAGAAGGCCAAGGCCTTGCACGCAGACCTCATCCGGGAACAGCCAGGAACCTCGGCCGAGCCAGAAGTCTTCAAGGCAAGCAGAGGCTGGTTTGACCGGTTCAAGGCAAGATCCGGAATCCACAGCGTGGTCAGGCATGGAGAGGCTGCCAGTTCTGATGTTCCTGCGGCTGAAGACTTTGCCTTGGAGTTCCTGGAGGTTGTGAAGACGGAGGGCTACGTTCCACAGCAGGTCTTCAACTGCGACGAGACCGGGCTGTTTTGGAAGAGGATGCCCAAAAGGACTTTCATCACTCAGGAGGAGGCCAAGTTGCCTGGCCACAAGCCCATGAAGGACCGTCTGACCCTGCTCTTCTGTGCCAACGCAAGCGGCGCACCTGAAGATCAAGCCCCTGCTGGTGTACCACTCGGAGAACCCACGGGCCTTCAAGAAACACAAGGTCGACAAGGAGCGGCTGAGTGTCATGTGGCGATCCAACAGCAAGGCTTGGGTCACACGTGTGCTGTTTGTGGACTGGGTCAATCTTGCCTTTGGCCCTGCTGTCAAACAGTACCTGCTGGACAATGACCTGCCGCTGAAGGCTTTGCTTCTGATGGACAATGCTCCTGCTCATCCTAAAGGCCTTGAGGTGGACTTGTTGGAGGAGTTCAGCTTCATCAACATCATGTTCCTGCCGCCTAACACCACGCCACTGCTCCAGCCGATGGATCAGCAGGTCATCGCCAATTTCAAGAAACTCTACACCAAGGAGCTTTTCAGGCGATGCTTCGAGGTGACTGATTGCACCACCATCACCCTGCGGGAATTCTGGAAGGACCACTTCGACATCGTCACCTGCTTGAAGATGATCACCACGGCCTGGAAGGGGATCAGCCAGAGGAATTTGAATTGCGCTTGGCGCAGCCTGTGGCCGGACTGTGTGGCACCAAGTGACTCTGATGCACCAGAGTCGACAGTGGTGCAGGACATTGTTGCCTTGGGGAGGACCTTGGGCCTGGAGGTCACAGAGGAGGACGTTTGCGAGCTGGTGGAGGAGCACGACGACGAGCTGACCACCCAGGAGCTGGTTGCACTGCAGTCAGAGGTTGCGCAGGAGCAGGCCTCGCTGGAAGAGGAGGAAGCAACTGAGGAACGGCTGTCCTCCAAAGAACTGAGGGACATTTGCCAGAAGTGGAATGAGGTGCAGGCTTTTGCAGAGCGGCACCACCCTGACAAGCACGTGGCACATGACCAAGCGAACATTTTTGATACGACGGTCATGTCGCCTCTCAGGGAGCTGCTGAAACGGCGGATGAAGCAGCAGACCATGGACAGGTTCCTCAGCAAGAAGCAAAGAGTGGAAGAGGAACCTTCTTCGAGTGGTCCCCAGAGTCTTAGAAAATGTAATGTACCCTTTTTGATTTTTAAATGTTTTTCCTGTCATGTTTAGAAAACTTAATTTATTGTTCCTTCAATTTTTGATATGCTCTTTAAAGTATGTGTGACTTTAAAGAGCAGTTAATAAACTCTTGTTGTACCGAATTTGGCTTTGATTGGACTTTTTTTGACCATAGGAACGCATTAATTGAATTTCAATGCATTCCTATGGGATTTAGTGCTTCGCAAGACGAAAAATTCGCTAGATCGAAAAAACTCATGGAACGAATTAATTTCGTCTTGCGAGGCACCACTGTACAGGTGGTACATAACCCCAGTCAAGCTTGCGAAAATCTATCACTTGCCCGATAACAAATGCTGGAAATGTAAAGAAATTGAAGGTACATTTTTTCACCTTTGGTGGACGTGCCCAAAGATTAAGGTCTTCTGGGAAATGATATATAATGAATTAATAAAGGTATTTAAGTATACCTTCCTTAAGAAACCAGAGGCCTTTCTCCTGGGTATAGTCGGCCAAATGGTGTTAAAAATGGATAGAACTTTCTTTATGTATGCAACAACAGCAGCAAGAATACTCATCGCAAAGTATTGGAAGACACAAGAACTTCCCACGCTGGAGGAATGGCAGATGAAACTTATGGACTATATGGAACTGGCTGAAATGACTGGTAGAATCCGTGACCAGGGAGAAGAGTCGATGGAGGAAGACTGGAAGAAATTCAAAGACTATCTTCAGAAACACTGCAAAATTAAGGAATGTTAGAGTGATGTTGGACTGAAAACAAGTGGTTTCCAGCTGCACAGGTTAAAGTTATGGAAATTTGATATTAAAAGGGAAAACTTTAAAGTTATATGATATTAAGACCAAGGACTAGGTTTAAAAAAATTGAAGTTATATATTTTAACATTTTACTAAATTAAAGATTGGGATTAAAAAAGTGGAAAAGAAATTGCTGAACAAACAATGTGGACTGGAATACAAAGGAGGGAGGTTTGAGGAAGTCTAGAAAATAAGTCACGTAAAATTGGAAATGGAAAAGAGAGTTTGTTTTTAATTGTTGTGTTTTGTGTTTTTATTGTTAAGTTTTGTATTATTTTTATGTGAGTTTTTCTGTTTTTTTTTGTTTTATGTTGTTTTAAACTTTAATAAAAATTATTAAAAAAAAAAAAAAAGAAATGCCCC